TGATTATAAATGGGCCTCTAGACATGGGGTGCAAGTCACTGCTAAAGCCAGCACTGGGATTTTAAAAACACAGTGTATTAAAAGACATAGTGTGTGTGTGTGAGAGAGAGATTAGTTAAACCCATGAATAGAAAATTCCAGGTAAATAAGCTCCCCGCAGGGGTGACTCTGGGGACACAGCTCATCTTACCTTCAGTCTGGGCGTTTCCTCTCTGGTCTGGAGGGGACCTTGTAGCACAATGTTTTTCTTTGGAGAGTATGTGTCCTTACAGAAGGGACACCCTGGTTTTTCTCTTTCAGATACGTTCTCTTGCCTCCTCTTCCAGGGCTCAGAGAAAAGAGGAAAAGGGCCATTTGAAGCCCTTTCTGTGGTTGATTTTTGAGACTTCATGGTTGCTGGATGCCTGGCCTAGATACACCAAGTTATGCAAACTTAGTCTTTCCAATTTTATGGTTTTCATCCATTTTCACACCCTTCCCACCTTCAGTCCTAACTTTCATGTCTACTCATCTGTGGCATCAACTTGAGTGGTGCAGAAAGGGAAGCAGAGTCCCTGGGAATCAGGGACGGGCTAACGGGGGTGGGCAAAGGAGTATGGAGGAGGTGTTCAGTTCACACCTCAGGCTTGGAAGGCTTCCTGTCACAGGTGGGATTTGAGGAGGTGAGTGAGGACATGTGGGCTCTCTCTGCTCCAGAGGCCTGAGACTGTCCCAAGGATGTGCCCACGAGTCAACAGAGAACTGGGAGCAAAGAGAGCCAAAAATAAATTTGCCTGGATGGAATGAAGAGCAAGGAAGAGATAAGGGCAAGCCCTGGGACAGAGACAGGGTTGGGCCTAAAGGAACACAGCAGACAACAAAAATGGCTTCCATAATGCCGTCTCTCCAAGGAACGTGCAGAGAAGCGAATACATAATACTTAGGTTTTATCTTTCACTGTAAATATTTCCAAAACACATAAAAGCAAACATAAATAAATAATAAACGAGCAAGCAAATAAATAACATGCATCATCTTACCACTTAGAGTTAATAATTATAAATTTCTCTTTATTCATTCCCTTCTTGTCTTTTTTTTCTTTGAATCTGTGTCTAGCTATATTTATACATTTTATAAAATTAGGACCTTAGCTTATATAGAGTTGTAGCCTGATTTTTTTAAGTTTAATATTTTATATAGAAAATCCAGCATTTTTCACTGGTCTGTTATTTATGGATTTAGAGAAGTCATCTGTGAAAAGACCGAAGTTTCTAGTACAGGCTTTGGAAAATGCCTCTCTAGAACAATGGTGTTGGTGTGTTTCTTTCAAGCACAGGTTTTGGGTGGAGCAGAGTACTCCCTCAGCCTACCAGCCCAGCACAGGGGCTGCTGTTCTGATGACAAAGAAGGCAGACAGAAGCATGTTAGAAAAAAAAAAGAGTTCTGTTCTCCCAGGGTGGGGTGGGAGGGAGCCCAAAGGGCTGGAGCTCTTGTGTAATGATGGGTAAGAGCTTCTCCGCCGAGTGCAAAGGGGTGTACCCCCACTAGGAGGATGCTCATTAAGTTATCATTTATTGAGCATCTACTATGTGCTGGGCATTGGAGGCTGTGCAAATACTATCTGTAATCTGCCTAACAATCTGATGTAATAGGTATTATCATCTACACTTTCCACATGAGGAAACTGAGTCTCTCAGAGATTAATTTATCAGTCCATGGTCTCAACTGGTAAATGACTGCATTAGGACTACAATTTGGGTTTCCAAGAGTATAGAAGAATAGAAACATATAGGCTTTGAGAGAAACAAAAAAAAATGTGGATTTGAATCACTTTTATTAAAACACAAATTTCTTTTAGACTATGAAAGCAATAAATATTTTGAAAGAAAAATTGCTACTAATCTGTCTCATTTCTCTGGTACCTTAATTTGGGAAGTTGCTGCTTATCTGATTTTCCCTGTCAGGATCTTACATTAATTCATTCAACAAACATTTATTTTTCAATGATCATGTATTAATCACTGTTAAGGGAATGAAAACCAGATGGATAAGATTTAACCCCTGCGTTCAAGAAATAGATAGTAAAATGAGATTAGGCAGCCACATACACCCTGTGACAACTGTAATGATTACTGCCATAGAGATGTGAGTCTGGGGCTGAGGGACTGTGGCTATGGGAAGAAGATTAAACCTGCCTGGTGAGAGCCAAAGAAGACTTCAAAATGATGGTGGTATTTCCCTCTCAGAAACTTGATCATTTCATCTGTTAAATACAGGAACTGGACAAGAGTGACTTCGGGCCATAGCATTTTGTAATTCTCATTCCCTTTTCTTGCACAGATTTGTCACCAAGGACAGCCCTTTTCCATATGTAGAAAGCTACATGTGTTTAGATGGGTGTTCCCTGGGCAGTCTGGTCCAGAGCCCGCGTTGCACAGCTGCCTTCAAAGGCCCCCTACTGTAGCACGGCAAGTGGCCCCACAGGCAGGTTCCCTAGGCTGGGGTTTGGCGAGGAGAAGCGGCTCAGCTGTAGGCTCCAGCTCTATTTCCCTCCTGATTTTAGCTCCCTCCCTCTCTGAGTGCTTTCTAGTGTCTTTTAGTGGCAGGTCATCACTTGATCCAGCCCTCCCCACCCCCATATTCCTTGGAAGGATAGACCCCCAAGGTCAGGATTTGTCCCCATTAGGCATGTATCCCTCCAGACCTTAGCATAGCACTTCATGCATAGAAGATGTTCAATTACTGTGGAAGAAAGCATAGCAGTTTTCTCTTTTGGAACTTATTTGCATGCAGTTTAAAAGTGCCTGTATTTGTTTCTTCAAATTACCACAAACACTGGCTGTAAACAACATAAATATATCATTTTACAGTCTGGAGGTTAGAGGTCTGGAATGGCTCTCACTGTGCTAAAATCAAGGTGTCGGCAGGGCTGTGTTTTAGAAGTTCTAGGGGGGAAAATCTGTGTTTTTATGTTTGTTTATTTTGTTTCTGTTTTTGTTTTTTCCAGCTTCTGGAGGCTGCCTGCATTCCTTGGCTTGTGGTCCTCTTCCATCTTTGAAGTCAGTGGTGGCTGGTCAAATCTCTCTCCCATGGCACCACTCTGCCACTGCCTCCCTCTTCCACCTTTCAAGGACCCTGTGATTACACTGGGCCCATCTGTATACTCCGGGATCGTCTCTCTATTTTAAGGTCAGTTTATCAGCACCTTAATTCCATTTTGCCATGTAACATTACATAGTTACAGGTTACAGGGATTCGGAAGAAAACACCTCTGGGTAGGCATTATTCTGCCTACTGTGGCGCCAAGTGACTTTTCCTTAGGATTATGTTTATTCAGTTATATACTCATGCACTTACCTAACATTTGTTGAGCTCTTACTATGTTCTATGTGCTCTGCTGGGTGCTGGGAAATCGAAGATACACAATACAGAGTCTGGTAGGAAACAGAATGAACTACTGTAATGCAGTCT